CAACTCCCAAAAATATTCAGCTTTGATATTAATGAGTCTTTTGGGTTCATTAAGAACATGGTTGTTGTTCAATAATAAAATTAATCCTCAAAAATACAACTTGCCTAATAATTCTGCACTCCCTGTATATACACATATACATATATAGTTAAGGGAGAAAATCCAGAGAAATCAGGTTGCATATACAGTGGATGTCCTTTAATAAATATGTTTTCTTCATATAGTCAAAACTGAATAAAAACATTATTTTTTTCACTTTTATTTAAAACATGCATTTAACCACATTTCACTTTGTTAATCCTTTAGTATGAAACAACCCAAATGTGTAGGATTATGCAGCAGGCAGCGGCTTTTGAAGCCTATAATTTGCCTAATCTACCGATGTTCTACTTTAGCTGCGTTTTAATTAAATGCCTCTATCCTGTGAGACTTCCACTGTCTGAGAAAAACTGAAGGATTTGTGGAATTATTCTTAATATATTTTTTTGTATTCTTGGCCAAAATGTTTTTTAGATTTTTTTAAATATGCACAAGTAGATTATTGTGGTTTGGGTGGGGAGTGACGGATTAACTTAATATACATAGGACATCCAAGACACTGTCTTTGACTAAGGTGAGCTACAACTGATATTTAGATGTATACATTCTAGAGACATTTTAAGTGTTTTGACTATAAATATGGTTTCTCTATTGATTTATATCTAAATCAGATGATTTTTATTTAATTCTAGTCCACTGAACAAAAAGATGTTTTTTTTTTATTTGTGGTTTATTCATAAAACTGACTTAACCTAAACATAATTATTTTATGTGCCCTTTATAGATAAACACATACTGCCTGCCTATTACTACACATGGAAAAAGTCATTTTTATTACTTATTATTATTATTAAAAATAATTATTAAAAATATTCTTCAAATATTTCATAATGTAAAGTTCTTATGATGCAAATCACAAGCTGCTTGTCAAAAGTAATGGACCTTCTCCTTCATTCATTTTTTTTTGTGTTAAAAGTGTTAAAAGGAAAAGGTGGAGCCATGCCAGCTGTCTTTGGGTGAGGGCATGGTACAACCTGGAGTGTCCAGTTCATCTGGGCCACATTTACACACGCTCACATTTACACCTATGATTAATTTAGTTTTTTAAGCTTTAGTTAATGTTTTTTAGACACATGAAAAAAACATCCAAGCTCAAAAAGGCCATCACTTACTTCACTCTGCAACAGCTCTTGTCTACAGGTCAAACATGTGTCTTTACTCCTACCGTACCTTTTTTGTCAACCCTGTGTGACCTTTGACCTACTTTTCTCCACCTTCTCTCCATGCACTAGCTTTGGTCTAAGCCATGACAACAACTCTTCACAAAAGGCCTGCATCAGTTCTTGGTGGAAACAGAACGTCTTTCATGTCAGTGACCTGAATCACTTGGACAGAAAACAAGGAGAATTTTTAATTTCTTATCATTTCAACCCACGCCAAACTAAGATCATCAAAAGATGCTGATCATCTTTAAGCACACCCACCGACATGTGGCTTTATTCCACATCTGTTGGACCCAGTGACATCAACTGCCAGCTCGTTTGAAAAGTTTCTTCAGGGCAAACAGATCCCACCTCCTGGCTCCATCATCAGCTGGTGATTTGTTTCGCCGAGGCAGTGGAGGTAGTGTGTGTGCTTTCAGAGGCTCTAGACGGGTAAACAAGCTGTCCGTGACACAAGCCGAACAACGTTCTCTATGCAGAGAATTCTAAATACCATTTCATACATCACTGTAGTTAAATTTAGATTTGATGAAACCCAGAAACCAGACATCACCAGTTGTTAATCCTTGATGATTAAACATTTATGTTGCAATTCAAAACTTGATTTGATGTGATTACATATTTCAAGATCGTGTGGGGAAAAATGTACCTGTTTGAGCTGTGCACTTGATTTGATGTGATTACATATTTCAGGATCGTGTGGGGAAAAATGTTTGAGCTGTGTGAGTTTAAATGAGATTGCTGTAATGTCATCTGAAAATAACAAAGTGTTAAAGTTAAACAGCTCTGCTGAAATGAGGGCAGTTCGTGGACCACTGGTGAATTGCGAGCAGCGCGACGCCTGCTACACAAGCAGTAAAGATAAATACTATGGACTTTCACCCACTGTAACCGTGAGACCCACAGCTGTGAAACACGTTTATACATGATGCACGTAGAACACACCGTCACAGACAAACGGTTCCTTCGTTCTTATCAGCTTGTACCACTCTTTGACCTGATTCAGCGTCTTCTTATCAGAGCAGCTCACTGTGACGTGGACGGGCCAAAGGAGTAGTGGGTTAACAGCATTACATTCACATCTGCAGATGATTATGGTTTTTTTAATTAGTTAGTTTTTACAAGTATAAGTTTGTGACATCACTGGATCCACTATAACTTTAAAGTCTTTTATAATTTTTTGGGCACTGGTGACCACACTTTTTAACCTCTGAAAGTGAAAGGGGAAATATGATGGTATAGGTCAAGGGTCAAAGACCTGTGGTACATGCCTCCAATCCAATCCAGTGATGTCAGAGTTTAAAAATACACACTCTTTAAGGTTGAACATAATCATTTTGAAACTTTAATGTTTTGACTCAGCAGCTAAAGTAAGACATTTATAAATAACCAGTGGTCTGATCGTGTCCTGCAATTTCTTACCAGCTCCATATGTCGTCGGTCTTAAAGAGTTGAGAGTACAAAGAGGTGTCCACGCTGGTAGTGATGTATGACAAGGAACTCTCTTTAATGAATCCTGTGGTACCTTAAAAAAGCAGTGCACATGCACAAACAAGTGTCTCAGTGACATTAAAAATACCCTGAGACTCTCAAACACTCAGAAAATGGTAAAACGTGAACTATCTTTTGAGATTTTTTTTTGTAAATGCCTGCTTGTTGCAATTTCAATAAAACTAATTTATATTGCAATTCTATGGAAAAAAAAGATATGAATGATTTTTATAATGCTTTTATGATTTTACACTTTCCTTATTAGGGTTTTTCAAAATACAGTCTAGTTTACTTTGCTTATGTTTTAATTGAAACTTTACTCTGAGCATTTAGGTTAAATAACAACCCTATATATATATTCATTGTTGAACTTGGAAAGGAAACTGTTGTAAAGGCACATACAACTAGACAAAGAAACACAGAGCTATCACAGAGACACATCCAATTGCCTGTAGACATTCATAAAAAAAGCGTCCAGTCTCCATGAACAGATGCTTGGGTTTTTGTTGCAATGTTGACATCTAGCGTTGGAAATTTGTACTAACATCTTTATGCGAATTAAAATGTAATGTGATTAGTATTACCGTAATGATTGTCCAGCGTACTTGAATGTGTCCAGATTATAATTAAGTTTTATGGGCGGATAAATATGGCATTGTTTCGTTACCTTTCACTTTATTTATCAACTTGGAAAACTACAATAAACCGTTGACAAATTAACAAACGTTGCACGTTTAAGAGTTGATTATGCTAGAAGTAATTAAATGTCTTACTGCAAAAAATACGATAACTTTGAGCCCAACAACACGGCAATAGATGTCAAAGTACGTATTTCTGGACATTTCCTTTAAAATCTACTCCAAGTATCAATATTAACAAATCTGTCCGTTATTATTATTATAAAGGTGACAAAAAGTATTTATGGTTTTTAATAAAATATAATTTATTGAATTATTTTAATAAAAACTACGAATTAACTACAATATACTGTGACCTTGATGGGGAAGAATAACGCCTCCATACCTGGACAAACCGGAACTGACTGCGCTGTTGTGTCTTGCTGATGCCAAGAGCCAGGTTCGGGAAATTCTTCAAGATCTTCAAATATGGTCCACGAGGGTACTGCAGGGGGTTAGAAAATTTTGATAATTAGACATTTTAATAAGTCCTTCTTTTTTCACAAATGGAAATGCACATTATCATGAACGTAACGAATTATAGCAAATACATAAAAAAGGACCAAGACATGCACAAATTAAATTACATACATAGCAGTGTCCCCACCTGAACTAATACTTGGAAACTGTGGTTTAACATGATGAAAATGCTGTGATTTTAAATGAAGGTAAGTGAGAACAAAGGTCATGCTCCTCAAATCACAGGGGTTGACTTCCTGACAGTTCTTGAACACTGTTGGAGGATGTGACAGCTCTGAGGTTGAGGTGAGAAGAAAAATATATCATAAAGATGAGGTATGTAGACAAATCCAGTTAAAAGATTACACCCTGAAATTTATCTGAGTCACATCACTTTAAATTACTCATTCACTATTTCACAGCATGTCATCTCTCTGACACTCTCATTATTACACAAGCTTATTATCATCTTGTAATTCCACAACTGAACAGCAGGTGTGCTCTTAAGCACTGCAGCAACCATTCTACTGCAGTGTTAGCGTGGAAGTCCATGTGAATGAGAGTGTGAGAGTGTGTGTGTGCATCGGCTCTGGCTGGGACAGCCTAGCGTGCCTGCCAAGCTCGGCCACTGCTGCTCCTGCCACTCTGCTGAAGGACAGTAGAGAGAGGGAGAGAGGGCACTGGAGGAGCGGAAGGAGAAGAGGGAAAAAGCAGGGGGAGAGACCACTGAAGTGAGGAGTCCAGGCCCAAATAAAGCCATGGGGGCTGGGGCTTGGCTGGGCCCCCCTTTGCTATAAATACGCTGTCTGTCTGGAGGTTCGGGTTTGGTGGCCGGGGCTTAGGACCAGCGACCACCACTACTGCTGCTGCTGCTCTTCTCAGGGGAGTCTCCTCTTTATCCTTATCCTCATCCTGGTCATCAGTGTTCTGGGCACGCAAGATGCCTCGGGTGGATGCAGACCTCAAGCTGGACTTTAAGGATGTCCTCTTCAGACCTAAGAGGAGCAGTCTGAAGAGTCGATCAGAGGTTAGTGCATTTTATCACTCATCACATGGACACAACATGTCAGACTGTTAGCATTCTAAGGCCTGTCAGTCCTGTAAGATGATGCTCTCAACAGCTAAAAAGTGTATCTGAGCTTCATGTATTTCTGTATTATGTTCCACCTCATTGTCTTCTGATGATGAAACCCTTAAATGGACACTTAATGTTCACTTATAATAACCTAGACGAGTCATTGACAGTGTGACCTTCTCAAAGGACAGAAGACAGGAGCAGAGAATCTCTGTCAGGGTGATGCCGTGAACAACATCTACTCCAAAGAAATAAAACAAAGGAAACAAATGATGAAATGTGAGAAATCAGTGATGGAAAAAGAATTACTTCAAATTAAATACATTGAAGGCAGAACAGACGACAACAAGTTAAGTTCATTATCTCCCTGTATATTTATCATTTCTTTATCATCTTACATCAGCTACAGTGTGGTTGGATCATAATGCCGGTGTAACAGCATTAGAGCTGGGGTCAGAGCGTGGAGGTAGTTGGTCGTTGGTTTTTGAAAGTTGACAGGCAACATGAGACCCGGACGACTTCTGAGAAAACCTTTTTAAAAATAGTTGTGTGTGTGTGAGTGTTACAGTTGAGCAGAGCACATTCCCTGCACCAAACACTGATATCAGGATGACAGACACATGACACAGGTCACAGCACGGGGGAGGGGGCAGGAGGTAGGGGTGTCCGAGCATGTGATGAGCGTAAATACCAGCTTTAATATCACTTATGACAAACATCTGAATCCCTCAGACAACATTTGTTTATGCAGCACCTGTGAGTGTAACGTGGACTTGGTGTAAGTAAGGGAGAAGTTCAACAGACACTAGGTGTTTTTCTACAGAAAATTAAACAAAAACCTCAACATCTGCAAAAAGTCAAAATTTTATATTGATTTTACATATCCGTCTAGATCCAGACTTATATACACATAGAGACTACATACATACATATATAAGTATATATTCTATATATGCATGTGTATATGTATGCATATGTATATATATATTTACATATATACATACTTCATTTGTATTTAAACACATATCTGATTAGGTGTATAAGCAGGTACCAAAAAAAAACCTGATTAATGTCTTCTATCATATGTATCTTTACAGGACTCATTAATAATAATTGTTATGATTATTAAGTATTAAAGGCTGTAGATTCTGTCTGCGGCTGTCATACTGAGTCACGACTCATTTTCTAACTGAGCGCTGACATTCTGCTGAGTCAGTGACTGTGTCTCAGTTATGGAGAGAACAGGCCTGTATTGATTTACTGCAGTGAGAAAATTGATCTACACCACCGGACATTCCTTCCTCCTCCGTAATGATGTCATAGCTTCATTTCATAGTGACATTAAGTTTAATCACACACACATACATTAAAGAGTAGTCAAAGACGTCTAAGAAGTATGTAAAAGAGTATGAAGATATCTGTCTTGGGGTTTAGTGTCTGGCCCATGGTCACACTGGCATGTAAGGAGTAATTTATAGGTACCATGAGGCAATCGTGGGAAAAAAGACAAAGTGGCAGAAATACAATTTTAAGAAAGAACCTGTAGTCAATGAACACCAAGGACGATTGCAGACAGGGTTTCAAAAAGTTCTGATTCTTCTCTTTTGTGTCAGGTTGACCTTAAGTGGACCTTCACATTCCGCAACTCCAAACAGACATACACTGGGATACCCATCATCGCTGCCAACATGGACACAACAGGAACATTTGAGATGGCACAGGTTCTCAGCAAAGTAAGTTAAAGTCAACATCAGTCCCTTTGGTCAACAGGACTATGTCCACTTTTACATTTAACATACATGCAGTGACAGAGCAATCCATGAACCATAAACTCTAACATCCTACTTGTTGTTTGTTTTTTGGCTTAATTTAAAAGTGTCTTTATTTCAAAAGTCATTAGGGAAAATTATTTGCTGCTTAATATATCCTAAAAGTTAGAAATTGACCTAAATGTAATAAATTAAACTTAGCTTAGCAAAACTATGCTGGAATAATTGTAGCAAAATATGTTTTTTTTAATTAATGTAACAGCTAAAAAAGTTTGATTGCTCACCATGATGTAGAAAAACTACAATACTACAGTTTTTCAGTAGATGAGTACTATTAACAGAACTGCTCTATGTATTGTCATTCTATATTACCTCCTGTGTGTGCAGCACACTCTCTTCACAGCCATTCACAAACACTACTCTGTAGAAGACTGGAAAAACTTTGCTGCTAATCATCCAGAATGCTTAGAGGTAAAGTGGGAGTTCTTTGCAGATTGTTTTTTACAGGAAGTTTCTCTTTTTAAAAAGATAACTTTTCTGTCACAGCATGTAGCTGCCAGCTCAGGCAGCGGGAATGCAGATCTGGAGAAGCTCTGTGCTATTTTGGATGCCGTCCCTGCCCTGAAGTACATCTGTCTGGATGTAGCCAACGGCTACTCTGAATACTTTGTGGAGTTTGTGAAGACAGTGAGAGAAAAGTTCCCTAAACACACCATCATGGTGAGAGAAACAACAGTAAAACAGTCTGGTAGTTTGGTGTTTAAGTGCTGACCCTAATGACCTCTGCTCCTCAGGCTGGCAATGTGGTAACAGGAGAGATGGTGGAGGAGCTCATCCTGTCTGGAGCTGACATCATCAAAGTGGGCATTGGGCCAGGTGGGTTCCCTAGAGTGTGTCTGTGTATGGTGGGAGGTGGAGGATGGGCAACATACTGTGAAACCACACAGGTTTCATAAACAAGAATTAACCTGTGTTGCAGGTTCTGTTTGTACAACGAGGATCAAGACAGGAGTGGGTTACCCACAACTCAGTGCAGTGATAGAATGTGCAGACTCAGCTCATGGACTTAAAGGACATATCATTTCTGTGAGTCATACGTTACAGTACAAATTGCAAATATCCAGGGGTTTGTTTTATTTAACATTAGTTTTAAAAAATCAGGTTGAAGAGATGAGAGATAAAATGGACAGTTTCAATTCAGTAACACAGTAAATGTCCTTTATATGATGACAGGACTGGAGTAAAATTAATTTCAAAATTACCTCAGGGAGATATACATGATGCAATCTGCTCTGTCTGGTCTGCAATAGATGTTTCTGCAAAGAGAAGATCAGAAAAACAGTGTAGATCAGTGTTAAACTCAGGGTCATGTGACAGGTGTGGTGTAAATGTTTACTTTAAAAAATCAAGAAAAATGTGGAATAAAAGATTAGATTATGATCTATATCAGATTATGTTCTTTCTTTTTCTGCATTGTCTGAGATGTAACCAGTGATATCACCGTGTCGACAATAGAGGGCAGCATTTCTATTCTCCCAGTCTGACTTTTTTTCATTGTCTCAGGATGGAGGCTGTAGCTGTCCAGGAGATGTGGCCAAAGCCTTTGGTGAGAACTTAACTAGTTGGAACTTTTTACTTAAAGTGTGTGTTTTTTTTAAATCTCTTCTGAGCTACTTGTTTGGCTTTCTGCCTCTGCTCCTCAGGTGCTGGAGCTGACTTTGTCATGATGGGAGGAATGCTGGCAGGTCATGACCAGTGCAGTGGAGAGGTCATTGAGAAAAACGGCAAAAAGTATAAACTCTTCTACGGCATGAGCTCTGACACAGCCATGAAGAAATATGTGGGTGGAGTGGCTGAGTACAGGTGAGGACAGCTATGTTTTAATAAACTGTCAGTGCTAGTTTTGTGAACATTTTTCATTTTTACAAAAATTGGGGTTAACCTCTAGCCCTTAAGATTGAGCTTTTTTTTTTACACTAGTGACTTAATTGTTATATACTTCACCATTACTTGATAATTTTATTTCCCTCTACTCAGTCCTAGTTTTTGCTATTTTTTTGTCTTTATCTCCTCTTGCTCTTCTTTGGCCTGCAGAGCATCTGAAGGGAGGACGGTGGAGGTCCCTTACAGAGGAGATGTGGACAACACTATCCGTGATGTTCTCGGAGGTCTTCGGTCCACATGCACCTACGTGGGCGCCGCTAAGCTCAAAGAGCTCAGCAGACGGACCACCTTCATCCGGGTCACACAACAGTCCAGTCACATGTTCACTTAGATACATGCTCACTTAGGAGCTTCATGTTTTAGGACATTATGCTCATCTGGCCAGAATAAAATTATCCTAAGCCTTAATCATAACCAGTCAATGCCTAACCTTTAACCTAAACCATATTCCCATTTTACCTCTAAACTTTAAGCGCACCGCTAAAGGAGGTGCTGCCTCATGAGGGCCAGGAGAAAGTCAGTGTTTCTACCAGGAAAGGTCCTTAAAATGAGTACATATGCAATCATCCAACCAGATTCTCTCAGGACTCTACTGTCAGAAGACGTTAGTTTGACTTGAAACATTCTCCTCCAGGCATCACAGGGCTGCTTATTCCTCACTATGTGCATTTACATGCTTTACAGACATGGCATGCTCTGAATTCTTTGTGGAACGTTTTAATACTGTGCTGTAAGGTACTGGACTAGAAGTAAAAGAGCCAAAGTGCTGAGGCATGTGCACTTCAAATCTAATCTTGAACCTACTGAATGTACTGTATTTCTATAAAACAACAGCATATGCAGAATGTGAGCCATGTAATACACATTGCATGTAACCAAAGTCAGCAATAAAGGAGTCTGAAACTCGCTATCAGATCATTTATCCCGCAACAGACGCCCAAATCAATATGCAGGATCCAGAGACGTCGCCGTCACATTGTCATCGGAAAGAAATCGTGATGCAATAAAGCGCCGCTCATTTATTTGCCTAACCCTGTTGATCATTCTGTGCAGCTGCTCCGAGGTTTGCTCCTCATGCTGTGGCTTGAATACACACACACACACATAAAGATTTATGTCCACTAAAGCTTTAAGGAAATGTTCCCTTGTGCTGGAGTTAAGGATAAGGTCATGGATAATGTTACAATTAATCATGACGGAATTCAAACAACAACCTAAAGTAAACATAATTATATTGTCAATACACTCAGGAGGGGAACAAGGGGACGATATAACAAGAATACCCAGATAGGGAGCACTTCCAGTTACCAATCATATATGTACCTGTATATGTATATATATATATACACACACACACATACATATATGGTCATATATATACACATACACTTACATATATACTGTATATGCATATATATAAATGAATTTATTTGAAATTGAAATTTAGCATTAGTGTTACTTTATGCGTGATAAGTACCGACTCTAATAGGTCAACCTACTTTGCAATATCTTTACTTGGCTCATTTATCTAATACATTTTTTCCATTATTATGTTACTTTCGCTCAGACATATGCTAATTTTTAGTTGTAGGAGCATGCGCAATTGGGTGACTTTCATCACGGAGGAAAAAAATCGCTTTAACCTTGATTAATGTAGAACTTTTTAAACGTTTTCTTTTCATTCGTGCGCATATGCCACATGTTGAATACACATGCTCGCGAAAATCGTTAAATTAAAGTACATTCGTCGATTATTTGAAAACACGTCAATTTTCCGCAACATGGCGTCTCAATTTACCTCCGACCATTAAATACAACACATACCCGATTAAAAAAGAAAAGAAAACACGCACTGTCATAAGTGAACTGCATTATATAAGCTATATACATGTCATTTGCTGTATTAAAAGTTAAAATTAACCAAATGTATAACTTATTCATGAAAAATACTTGCCTTTTCCATGAGTATACCTATTTTATAGACTAGGAAAAGCGATTATTCCAGTGGTTTCTTTTAAGCGCATGCGCAGTACTTAAAGCATACAAAATGAGCGCGAATACAAATCAAATAGAACATTGGCCTCATGAAAGGGGGCGGGACAACTGTCCGTTTTGATTGGATATAAATTTAAGCAGACCTACCGAGCGACCAATTACGTTTTCAAATGTATGTACAATTCATTAGACTCTTTGGCGAGCAACTTGGAAAGGGGCAGCCTAAACCCGTGTTACAGTAACTCACATAACTATAAAAGAAACGGACACTATATATAGAACCCCCTGTAGCTTATAGAGAGACACATAAATACATAAAAAAGAGTTAAACAAGTAAAAATAAATTTGTTGTCTTTGTAACTGTTTTGTTGTGCATCTGTACCAAACTGAATACGTGGGTCAAAGACAACAGTATTTTTGGCAGTGTATACAGTCAAATAAAGACACAGGTTGCCAATTTATTCCAGATATGTCAAGATTTTCTTTTTCAAAGAGGTGCATTTGTACAGTTGTCAAATACGTACACCAACAGGGTTTCTCCATTGCTATAGAGGAAAAGGGTGGTGAAACACAGGGACTTGGTGAGTACAATATAGTACAAAGAAATTGGTAGAGGGACAGCTGCAGCCCCCGACTTAGGTCTGTACTGATGTCCACTTCTCTGCCACTGTCTCTTTGTCAGTCCTTGGTGTTACACCTCAGCAGAGAAACATCTCCCACAGACTGGTTGACAGCCTCTAGGCTGAGTGTCTAGAAACAGGGGGGAGGAATCCACTGATCCACAGTTGACAGATAGGCTCCACCCCCTCCGTGGCAGTTTGCAGGGTCAGAGGTCACCGAAGCGTGCGGCCTGTCCCCTGCCAAAGTGTTTTGTCGCCTTGCACAGAGAGGCAGTCTACAGACGTTCAGTTCACTGGAGATAAAACCAAGCCATCTCCAGCGCTATACACATAATGTCATAATAATAATAATAATCCATAGTTAACTGTCAAAGATGACATTTGTTAATCATATCAAACCGTATGTAATAAATGTACATATCTTGTTACCTTTTTATCAAACAGCCCACTGTGTAAATTGATTGGGGTGACACTGAACTGTTACGTGGGCCTCTACAAGTTTTTTTCTTTCTGCCTGAGTTGGTTATCCAGCGCTATGGACATTGAAGAGACATCATACGAAAAAAGAGTGAAAATAAAGGAATCCTGATTGATTGATTTTTTTTGTTTTCACTTTTAAAACACAACAAAGTGCCAAGACTACGTCCTTTTCTTCTTCTTCTCTTTTTTTTGGAAAATGAAAGTAGAAACATATAGAAACAAAGAGCACACATGCTTCTTTTTCCGATCCAAAAGTCAAAGCTCACACACCAACATTCATTTTATTTGTCAAGTTGTGCAAGAAGCCAAATTTTTTTTTAAACTTTAAAAAAGACATTAGCAGTGTTCCTCCAGTGAGGAAGCTTGTCATAAAAACAACAATGACACTATACACAGTTTTTAGTCCCCTGACATTATATTGAGTGCTACAAGGAGACCAAAAACACACAAAAAAGCTCCGGCACCAGGAATAATGCAAAAAAAAAAAAAAAAAAAAAGAAAAAAAAAAAAAGGAAAAAAAAGCAAAGGTTTGTATGCACCGTTTTCACACCACACATCCAACACTGAGCTGTGCCGGGCTCCTGTCAAACATAAACAAAGCCTCATTATCGGCACAGCCTGGATGGTGTGAGATGGAAAATATTTCAAACAAACAAAGGGATGCATTCCATGAGAAAAAGTTTCTTTTTTTCTTTCCGACTGGAAAAGAACCAAGGAATCACCTAACACCTCGGCCCGTTGGACCCAAGAACGCGCCGGGCGCCAAGTGACATGGAGCACAGACAGATCCACACAAGGTTACGGCAAAGGTGATGTGCAAAAACTTAAACTAAGCCATCACTCCTTTTTTTCAGCCTACCCCCTCCCCCCCCCATTTTCCAATCTCTCATTCCTTCTGTCTGTTTTGAATAAACATTAAACCCAGGAGAAGGTTTTGGTCTGAGACACAGAGTTCAGACCAAGCCTGTCCTGGGATTAGAAAGTGCTGAAATATTAATATCAAGTCTTTTACATCTACTTACATGTGCATCTCTGTTGGTTGGTAGTTTTTTTTTCCTTTTTGTTGTGTTTACATTTTTTTCTTTTATACAAAAGTGGTCCCCACTAGCAATGAGGTTTCTTTTTTCTCTGTGTGTCTCACCATGAACCGTCGCAGGTCAGGGCTTACGATCTCACAGACATTTAGAAGAGAAAACAGTCCATTAAACACACACACACATACACACCGACACACACACACACACTTGCGCACTTATTTGGACATCAAGTGTACATTAGCAAACGTGCAGACGCATATACAAAAGATTCATGACGCAGTCTCTCTTTCTCTCTCTCACGCGCTTAATTCCAGGAAGGCCGCAACGACAAAAAAGGGGAAATACACGTGACATTCGGACTGACACACATAAGCTGACAGTAAATTACACAAGCAATAACAAAGATATGAGACACTGAAGTCGGACTACAATATATGCTACATACACTTGGCACAGTAAAGGGGGGGAAATAAATGTAAGTATTGCACATTCTACATTTCAGGGAGACAAAACATTTAAATTTGTATTTTTTTTCCTTAAAATTACACCAAAACCTCAAAAGGTGGTCGCTCTCTTTCTCTCTCTCTCCTGCATTCATGTCAGATTGCTTTGTTTCAAAGTCTAGTATTAATATTGTCATTATTAGGCATGCATTAAGTAGTAAGTATTACAAACACAATGATTTATAGAAGCTAGTGGTGGAGAGAAGACCAAATATTAATAGGTGACGTTATGAGTGGGAACAGGAGACAGTCCAGGCCACACTGTCAGGTAGCTAACGGTTGTTGTGAGTTATTGAATCGCTTTGCTTCGGTTGGAGGCGCTGCGTTGGAGGCTGGCTGGCTATGACTGGGTACCTGAAACAAGGTTAGCGAGGTCACTACAGAAGATCGTGGCAAACAAGGCCTGGGTCCGAGTCTGAGAGTTCAGGTAAATGTGATGTGTGCTCACCTGCAGTGTGAGAGTCAAAACGAGTCAACACGAGTAACAGAGTTAATGAGTCTGAGGCTACTGTACATCCACACCAGTTGTTTTTTGTTTTAAAAAAAAGTAATTTCAGTTACACCTGCCTGGCAGAGCTGGGGATATTGGGCTTTCAAAAACGTAGAAGGGATTGAATACTAGGTGGTGTCATTTTGGTTTAAAAACTTTAACTGTCAACTCCCTAGTAAACTATGTAGCAACCATCCATACTTACTTTCTTGGCAAATGACTAACTTTGGCGATGTGTCACCGATTTGACTTTGTAACTAGTGGTTGTTCTTTCTAAGTAACTTTTTCTTTATTTATTTCTATCCTGGAAGTTCATCACGTAGTACCACTAG